TCCAAAGAAGATAGAAGATGCCTCTCCCACTTCTTTGCAGGAACTGGGAATTATGGGTATGAAGTACTACAAGTAATATCAGACTGTTTTATGCTCTGGGGGGTTGTGCTAGAGAATTCCTTGTCTCCCTCCCCCCCCTTTATTCCTTATTATAAAGGATGGATTTGGGGGCAAGGACAAGGAGGGGATAGACATTCCTTGACCTTAAGATACATTAGGAAATATAGATAATATAAAAACAGAAGATATTAATTAAAATGTCATTTTGAAAAAGAAATGTGGTCAAGTCAACAAATACAACAAACATTTTATCATAAAATGACCATTATAAAAATCTAGAGAATGAACTGAAATGTTTCTCCAACAAGGAAGTTCAAGGAGTCTTCTGAAATAGATCTGCTCACTCACAGTCAAAGCAAACAAGGACCAGGACCGTGTCAACATCTCCAAATGCCTTCGGGGATGTTAGAGCAGAGACACTCAGGCCAAAAGAAAGGTAACTTTCTAAAGGCACTTTTGCTTACCTGTCATAGGAATTTCAATTGGTGGGTAAAGACTAGGTTTATTTGAGAGACCTGTCCTTTCACCACAGGGCCACTAAAAAAAAAAAAAAGAGGATACCAGGCAGGAAGGGGTAATGTCGGCATCACAGCCTTTGACGGTCCTCACAAAGGTCCATGCTCCTAACTTCTCTTCATTTTAATCCTATAACATTAGACATTAAATTCAGAATCATCTATTAACTATAATCTATTATCCTCAAAGATCACTGGCCATTCCTTGATGTCTTTGAGACCAAGTACAAGCTTTTGACATGAAGAAGAGTTTTCAAACGATTGAAGGCATTGAAGAGTCTTGAGCAGTAAATGGAGTAATGTGAGCTTTAGGAAGATGACTTTGGGAGCCACAGGGAAGAGGATCAAATGAACTCATAAGGCCAGGAGTCCAACAAGGAGACTGCTGAAACAGACTGGACAGATGTGATCAGGGCTTGAAATGAAGGTCGTAGCCGTAAGGGGAGAGGCAAGACTTGGCAGCTGCTTGGGTGAGAGGGGGAAAGGAGGAGGAATGGCCTAAGATGATTCAGAGGCTGAAAACCTGGATGAATGGGATATTTTGGGGAGAGGCCTTCAACAGAAATAATGATGCTTAGAGGACCAGATATCCTCTTCTGGTGATCCAGAACTGTAAGTCAGTTGTTGTGACTAGGGCTAGGTATGTAAATCTAGGAGTCATCTGCAAAGACATGAAAACAATTCAAGGGACCTGATGAGCTCACTGAGAAAAAGGAGAGAGAGAGAAAAGAAGACCCAGAGGAGGCCCTGAGTGACACCCATGGTTAGGAAGCAGGATATCCAGCAAAGGAGGCTGGGGGGCGGGGCGGGGCAGGCTGGATCAGATGCCCTCTGAAGAGCCTTCCAGCTCTCAATCAAGGTCAGCAAGAGAGAACAGTGTCACAAAAACCCAGGGAAGAGTAAGTGTGCAGGAGGGAGCAGGGTCAGCAGTGTCAACTACTGCACAGGTCAAAGAGGAAGAATGAGATGAGGTCATTCAATTTATCAACTAAGAGACCATCAAGAGAGAGCAGTTTCAGTTGAGTTGGTGAGGTCAGAATTCAAACTACAAGGGGTTGAAAGAAGTCAGTTAATTAACATTTATTAAGCACCTACTATGTGACAGGCATTGGAGATATAAAAATAGGCAAAAGATAGCCCCTGCCCTCAAGGAGCTCACAATCTAATGGAAGGGGGAAGAAATAAATTATCTACTCTACAAGGAGCCTTATGGTGGGCACTGGGAATACAAAGGCCAAAGTAACACAGTGCCTTCCCTTAAGGAGCTTATGATATTGTAGGGGTGGGAAGGATAGTATGAGCGTTGTGCCTATTACAAGGTAATTTGTGAGGAGGAAACACTAATAACTGGGGGGATCAGGACAGGCTTCGTGGAAAATGGAGGCAACAAATAAAGATGTATTTTTCCATAAGGTCAGCTAGGAAAGGAAAGAGAGATATTGGACAGTAGCTCAAGGGGATGGCAGAACCAAGTATATTTCCTTTTAAGATGAGGGAAACCCGGGTGTGTTGATACACAGCAGGAGGAGGTTAAAAACGGGGGTGGAGATGACAGAGAGCAAACTCGGGGAGGAGACAGGATCAAGGATGCACACAGAAGGCTGGTTTGGGCTTGTTTTCAGAAACCCGAAGGAAGAGGGGCATGAGGGCAAGGGGTCTTAAAAAGAGAGATCTCATGATGACTGGCCTCTTTTTTGTGTAGGAAAGAGGGGACACAGAGAAGAGGAGGGGCTTGAGGAGAGGAGGTTTCTAAGAGCTGTTATGAGGAATTCTACAGAGTCAAAGCGGGAAGAATGAAAGGACTGACGTACCAAAGTAAGAGGCCAGCTGAGGTCCTTTTCCAGTTCTAACTTGCCATGATTCATCTTACCAAGAGGCCTTACTCTCACAATTTGTGCTGCCTCCTGGTTCCATTCAGATCAATCTCCTCAATCTTTGCCAAGCACAGACGTTTTTCTGTGTGTCTCTCTACTCCTCTGATCGTATGCTGGCTTTTCTACCCAAGCCATTCCCTATGCCTAGAGCTCGCCGATTCCTCTCTTTGGCTAATCAGGTGTCTTTAATCATTTAGGTGTTGGCTCAATTTCTTCCCACTTCCTTGCCTGTCTCAGAGCTGTCTGCCACCTTTTTCCGACCCAATGAACCCCAACTTTTCAGTTGTCGGGGCATGTGCATGAGTTCTTATTTTCACTTTATTTTACTGCTTACTTATTCCATTGGTTAGTCCACTGTGTCTCCCTGACTTCATGGTAAGCCTACTGTCCAGCCTTAACAACAGAAGCCCAGCGCTCCCAGTATAGTGCCATGCATCTTCTGCAGACTCAAAGTGTGTTTCATAAAGCACAGTTATTCAGATACCAGTTATTCAACAGGAGGCAAAGCCAAATGGAACATGCCACCATAAATAACCACATCACAAAATGGAAGCTTCCCAAAGTCCTAGAGGAAGAAGCCACATTTGACAGCCTGATGGATAGAAAATACAGAACCTAGGGACAAGGAACAGAAAGAATTTGTTTAGTCAATTTACGACCACTTGGCTGGTTTATATCTGGTCATTTTCATCACATGGATGCAGAAGAACAAAACATAACGGCCTACCAGCTGCTAGTTTCCCAAGTCCGTGGTTTTTCTATGGTATAAACAACTCAGTCTGAAGATCCAGTCTTTGTTAATGTTTTCTGGCTAGGAAGTTTTTGGGGGGTGAGGGGGGGGCTGGGGAGACAAGAAGTGTGAGGAAAAACCACCTAATGAACTGACAGTTCATATAAGCAACACCTGGAGTGTTAAAGTCCTACAAGCGTTATTTTACTGGGGGAGAGGAGGGGAGGAGCGAGGGAGGCAGGATACGTCTTCCTTTGGTAAATGTAAAAATTCTTTCAGCAGCTGCATTCCAACCTAAAGTGTGCAGAGGTTTGGGGGTAGATGGCAGCTGGAACGCATCATGGTCAGGATGCAGCTAACATTCAACAGCAGCTAGGGGATAATCAGAGCCTACAAAATGAACCCGAAACTCTCTGTTTCTGACTTCTTCAGGAGGATGCATCAGCTTCCATTCTCCTGCTCAGAGCAGAAGGACCTGCTTGTACATGAACGAGGAGAATGTGGAAAATAGGACTCAAGTGAGGACACACCAAAGTCTGGTAGGAATTCCCAGGGTGATGGCACATTGGTGAAACAATCACTATTCCGGAACCGTGACTTCGTAACACCCAGCATATCAAGACTCCCCTCCTCCGTCTTTTCTCTTCAGTTCCCTCACAGCCCCCACCTTGGGGCAAAACTAATGAGAGTTGCAGTTTTAATTCTATTTTCACTAAATATTTACAATACTCTGCTAACCCAAATTCAGACAACTTTCTGCTTATATAACTTTCTGGCATGAACAGTTCCCCTCCACATCTTCCTACACAGAGTGCTGGCTGCTGGCCCAAGCTGCCCCTGGAGAAAAGCTTTCCCTTGAGTTCCCAAGGGCAGGCAGTGGAACCTGGGGGCCTAGAAGGTTCCACGGGGGTGGCTTCATTCTGGTGGTGCTCTAGAAATGAAAGCCTCACACTTCCCAGCTCACCTATCTACAGGATGCACTGAGTGGGTACTCAGATGGGAAGCTTTGCCTAGAGCTCTGAGGGATATAAAGAAGGCATGGGTCCATTCACTGCCCCTAGAAGTTTGAAACCCAGTGAGGGAGACATAACGCATGTGGGTATGCATACACACAGACATACACGCACACACACCCCACACGAAGATAAATACCCCAGGATGGAAGCTGGGAAGCCCCAAAAGAATGGTTCAGATAATAAGTAATGAATTATTGACACAAATTCTTCCAAGGACTCAATGGGCTCAAGGTTGATTCTACCCTCTTGCTGTCTCCTAACAAATACACCAGGAGCCAGAAGCGAGTTTAGAGGGAAGTGGGCAAAGCTCTCTGGGTAAGAATGAAAGGTAGTGAAGCCAGGGAGAATCTACTCATTTGCTGAGAGATCCTCCTGAAGACGTTTATCTCACAGTGGTGAGGAAAACATGTTGTGTGCCTGAAAGCGGCAGAAAAGAAAGCTGTCCTGTTACGGACACCAATTAAACACCATCTGTTTCCTGAATGCACATGCACAGCAGACACTTGTTCCGTCTCTTACTTTAGAAGGACAAGAAGCTGACTTCATTCTTTTGATCTCTCATTTTTTCAGGGAGTAGTGTGTGTTGCTGTCTCACTGGTCTGACACCAGCTTTAGTTTCCTGGTGCTCTGAGCCCCGTGCCTTGGGTGTGGCTCCTGGCTAGCAGGTACAAAAAGGGACCTTCTTTCTACTCCTCAAGCTGACACCTCTAGCACGCGCAGAGCTAGCAGCTCTCAGAGAAGGGCCACGGAAACCTTTTGGAATGATTCATCAAAGTTGAGTGGGGATCTTTCCTTGAAAACCTACCTTGCTCATGGCAGTAAGAGCAGGGTCACAGGCAGCATCGAGGTCCTGAACCAGCAGCTGGATACTGTTGGAGATGACACTGTGAGGCAAACATGTCATATCTGTCAGTGACAAGCCTAAAATGCTAACGATCATCTTCTCTAAACTGGGATTCCTGTCGCCTCCATCCTGTGAAAAGGCTCCAACCACAAAGTAGTCTGATGGGCTCAATATATATTTCAAGAGGGAGATGACAGCAATATTTCTGGCATTCCTGCTGCCTGGTCTGTTCCTGTTAATACATCCTGTCATCCCTCCATGTGGTCTAGACATGGAATTCCCATGGGGACTCTCTCTGATTCCCCTCCCCAAATTCCTTTTGGTCTCCCACAAAAATCTGCTATCCCATTTCCCCCCAAATATTTGTGTTAGTGCTACATACAGAAGCCAGAGAAACAGGAAACTAAAAAATGCCCCCATGGCTAAAGGGAATTTCAAGCTTTCTTTAATTAATTTCTTAAGTGAAAGCCGATCCCTGGCTTTTCCTGCTGAATATGGCTAGAATAGGAACTGATCACATTTGGTTCATCTGCAGGGGAACACCAGGAAGGCAGTGACTCTGCGTGAGCTTTTGTTTTCAACTGGACTGGGATTTACTTCTCAAAGTGTCCTATCAATCTCTATAAAGACAAGTCTGGTTCCTGGGTTGGGAGCTCTAGATCTCTCTATACATGTGCGAGCACACATGTGCGTACACGCGCGCGCGCGCACATACACACACACCCCCCCCGACAGTACTAAGTTCAAGCACCATGCTTTTTTATAACTCAGAAACGTTTGGTACACTTAATTTTGTGCACTGACTTATTCTATCTTGTACGTAGAAGTCAGGCTGGCTAAAACTTGTCATGGGAAGCCTTCTGTGGTTTGACATCAGGTGGCTTAGAAGGATCCATGTCCCATTTAGGGATGCTGCAGAATGAGGGTTTTCTCCCCTCTACTATTACAGAGGGCAGACTGATACCCACCCTGAAGAGCCCAATCATTCACAGGCTGCTAATGAGTACAGGCTGTGACACTGATAGCATCCATCACTACCACAATCTACCCTAAGGCCCCAAAAGAGATGAATCCTGCACCAGCAAAAGGCATCTTCAGCCACAGGCCTTGAGGGAAAAGCAAGCCAACAGCCTGGCATGCACTACGTAAGGATGACAGAGTGGGGAAAGGCAGGGCCCTGAGGGAGGCTGGCTGCACCTACGTGCTGAATGTGTCCATCTCCCCTGTCAGGTTGATCCTTTCAATAAGGCTCGCATCAACTTTTTCTTTGAGTTTTTCTTCAAGCTGTTAGGAAGCAAAGAAAATTATGACATACTTAGTGATGGCCTCATTTTAAGAAAGGCTCATTTACGCAAATAGGTAAAGAATCTGTGATGCTGTCAGCCTGAAGAACTCCAGGCATGGGAACTCCTTCCACTAATCTATAGTTTAGTGGATAAACCCAGGGAATTTATGTCTAAGGCAAAGAGAGATTAAGTATCTTGCCCAGTGATCCCGGGCGAGTGTCAGAGGCAGGATTTGAAACCAGGTCCTCCTGACTCTAAGCCTATCACTCTCTCCACTATACCACACACGTAATCCATTTTAATGGTCCCCTGCCTAAAAAATTCCCTCCTCCTCATCCCTGGGCTTGCCAATAAGCTCTGGGAGTTCTTGCAGAGGTGAGGGGGCACCACGGATTCCCCATTCTACTTTCTCCCAAAATCTCAGAAGAAAAACACTCTGGGCTAGGAGCTCCAAGAATCCCCAAAGATGCCTGGGAGTTGGGGAACCGCTGTAGTCTTCGCTGCACACCCTCAGCCCAGGCTCTCAGCCTGGAACCTCCCCTTCGGCGGCAGCGCCATCTTGTCAGGTATTGCATATGCTGGAGACAAGATGGGAACAGAGCCCTCCTATGGGGTCTCCATGACAACTGTGCTGGTAGGGATGAGGGGTTCCTCCAGAAAAGGTCAGTGAGAAGGAAAGTGGTGCCAAGTGTCCTCTCTCAGCCCCATTTCCTGTTTCTGGAGTGGATAAAGGTGATGTACAACAACGAGACCATAGGGAATCATTTGAAGCATCTGCTACAAACCCATGCAGTCCCGTAGACATGCCCGCCTCTCCTCTCCCTTCTTCTCTTCTGCTTCCCCTTCCTGGCCCTCTCCCTGACTTTGGGCCCCCCTACCCAGGGACCTAAGGGGCAGCTACCTTCTGGCCCCTCCTGCAGCCCATAGCTATTTTCAGGAGGGAAGGGGCGTGGCTGGAAATCCCCACAAGGCTTCCCTCCCTCCCCACTGACTCACAGGCATTTCAAGTGGGGGAGGAGTAAATATGGCAGGTGGCCACTGGCACACCCCACTTCTCCACTGCTTTCAGGCCTAATCAGTCAACTCAGGGACTTCTACATCAACCCACGTCCCATGCCACTGCTGTGAACCCCAGGTTTTGGGAAAAACCAACCAAGGTTGCTTGTAACAAGAAAGTTGTGAAGCTGTGTCTCCCAGGCAGTCACAGGCTGCAGACTGCTGCTTTTGACTCTTTGTAGGTCATTCACCAGGCAGCCCCACATCCCCTTCCCCCGAACATTACTGCTAACTGCCTCCTCCCCTCCAACAACTCCATGCCTGCTTTTTACTGGGTCAACACCAAGAGTGAGGTCTCTGGGGAACACCTTCTATTTGGCCTCACACATTCTTCCTCTGGCATACAAGAACTACAGGTCACGCCGACTCAGTAATAATTTATGTCGGTCTTCCTTCAACCCAGACAAACATAAAGAATCAGCCTGAGCAGGAGGAAAAGGCTGAGCCTTTAACAGGCGTCCTCTCAGTGCCCCGACCACCTCTAGTGAGTTCATGTCGAGCACAGAAAGGTACAAAGAGAGGGCTCCTCTGTGGCCTCCTCTGCTCCTCGGCTCACTGAGACGCTGCCACTTTTGGTGGCTCCAACAACAGTCGTCAGCCTTTCCTGCAACGCACTTCCTGAACGTCACGGTCCCAAACACAAGCTGCTTGTTTAGGCAGAATGAGGATGCGATGTTAATTTCAGGAGACAGACGCAAACCTCCAGGGGCCTCCCTTGACGGGTACCACTCCTGAGAATGGAATCACTGCCAGTGCTTCATCACGGCTAAAGGTCAAGCATCAGCACAGCCCCTTCCACAATGAGGCACATCGCTGTCCTCCTCGTATGCGGGGGTGCCAGTGACCCACTTTCAGGAGGAGGGCGTGCCCTGCACATCGGCGCCCTGAGCCTCCTACTGGGCTCTCCTGCTCAGTCATTCTCCTCCAGAGGTAGCCTCTGCTACTAAATTGCTGCTTGTGCTCACAGGGGGGAACTGGAGAAGGGAAGCAGGGAGGCGGATGGGAAAGAAGGCCTGAGACAACAGGACCCGGCCACTCATCCCCCAAGTGATTTAACCTCTCAGCACTTCACTAGTCTCCTCAGCAAAATGGGAGGATTCCATTAGATCTAATTAGATCAAGGGGTCTTCACCTTCTTTGTGCCTTGGACCTCAGGCAGTATCTGGAGAGGCCTAAGGATCCCTTCTGATGTTTTCAAATGCACAAAATAAAATATATAGGATTACAAAGGAAACCAACATTAAAAAGCGCACTGGCCTCAGGTTCAGAGCCTCTGGCATCACAGTGTCTCTCGTGTGCTCTTCCACTGTCAAGCCCATGAATTTAAACTTGGGTCATGTACAACGGCCAACATGACCATCCAAGGTCAAAACCATCCCAGGTTAAACACACATGCTTCCCATCCACAGACAACTGAAAAGCTATTGGAAGAGGAGAAGCCATGTGCTGGCACTGGCAATAAGGTCATGTGGTGAAAAGCCAAAGGCTCCTCACAGGCTGCCCGGTCCAAACCCCTCAGTTTACAAATAAGCAGGCCTGGGAGCTGAGTGACTTGACCAAGGTCACACAGCAGGGTCATAATGAGGTTTCCTTCTGCTTGAACTTTTTTGAGGGTACAAACCGTATCAAAATTTGCTTAGGTGGCTTTCAGGAAGTGTCTTTTGGGGTTTTTTTGGAGAGGCAATGGGGTAAAGTGACTTGCTCAAGGTCACACAGCTAGTAAATGTCAAGTGTCTGAGGCTGGATTTGAACTCAAGTCTTCCTGAATCCATGGCTGGTATTCTATCCACTGTGCCATCTAGCTGCCCCAGGAAGTGTCTTTTGTGTCAAAACAAAGTGAATTAATACATTTTTAAAAAGTTTCTTTGATAAAAACAAACGAATCAACCAGATGCCTCTCTAAACTGCACGGAGCTAGCACCCACTGCCTTTCCAATGGCTCAGTCTTCTCACACTGAGAACGAGGGGCGGGGTCCGGGGGGTGAAGAGGAACCATTGGCTTGCTCACCTGCTGGGTGGTGGCCAAGCAGTACTCGGCTGTGCTTAGGATGCTGCAGATGAGGCAGAGCTCCTCCAGAGTGAACTTGGCCACTTCGGAGCCCTCCTTCTCCTTGAGGAGGCTACTGATGGTCAGCCCTCCACTGGTGCTAGTGGTCCTGAGGAAGAGGAAGAGGAGGCGGTCAGGCCCAAACTCTTAATGTGTTTCCTGAGCAGGAAAAAGGGCAGCTTGCAAGACAAAGCAAGAAATGGACTGGACCTGACCCAAGTCCAATAATAAGCCTCTTTCCTACTGACCTTACCTTGACCCTCATCTGTTTAAATCCTCTGAGCAACAGTTGTAGGAAGAACAGACAGCAAGTATTATCTAGCCATCAGTGGCATGTACATGACATATGTGATCATTAGAGTGCCTGGAGGGGTTGCCTAGTTAGCCTGGCATTTCCTGATAGGAAGAACCCATTCTGGCTCATTAGGGACCCAGAAGTGAGTTCCTGGTTTATTGTTTTCAGATAATTGTGCACTGGAACTGAAATTCTGCATTTTGATCTAGAGGCATTTAGACAAAAGAAGCATTTGGAAATTCAAATACCAACCAATACAACTGGGTACCTATTACAATTCAATTCAACATGCATTTACTGAAACCCTACAATATACACGAGGCACTATGCTTGGTACTGGGACTCCAAAAGAAAAAAAACACAACACAGTTGTAAGCTCCAAGAACTTACATTCTATATGTCTATCATGTGCAAAGCAATGTATCCAATAAAACATATGTAGTTCTCATACGATTAGCACCAAAGGTTAACCGTCAATGTTTACTGTATCTTCACTGGAGATACAAGATGGGTCAGACATGGACCTTGTCTGATGGTGACAAGAAATCAGAATGACAGCTAAGGTAATTTCCTGTAATTCTGATGATGTACCCATATTCTAAAGGGAAAATCTAACAGGATTAGAATATCTCCTGCCTTCTCTTACTACTGAAAGTTCAAGCCATTCAAGAAAATAAAGGAGGCCTCGTGGGCAGAAAACAAACAAGATTTCCAAAATGACATGCTTACAGGGCTCGGCCCTGAGCATTGGCACATATTTTCTTTTTCTTTCCAAATAATGCAGAGAATGTTCCTATGTAACACATTTTACCGATAACAGCAGAAGGCCAAACCACAGCCTTGGGGACCGACTATGCAGAGGAAACCAAGAGGCAGACTTTTCGGTTATTGGTCAAATACTATTACAAGGAAAATCTCTAAGCAACCCCAAATCTTTTCAAGCCCTAATCAATGACTCATCAACTGCAAGCAATAATCAATGACAAAAAACATGGATCATCTCTCAGATCTGACTGTAGCTGTCCACACACAGTTTTCTCCCAATAGATACAAAGGGTTTGCAATAAAGAGAAAGTTGTTTCAGATCCTTAAAAACCCAAAAAGGGCCTCGGCTTCCCTCATGCTCACTGTTACTGGCTTCTTTACTGGCTGGTACTTCTCACAAGGAGATGAGCTTAGTCTGGTAACTTGCTACATCCCAAGGAATTTCCTTACCAATCTTAAGCATATAATGTTAGAGCTCAGAATTCAGGATAATTCCTCCTCATTCAGATCTTGTGTCACCACTTGAAGAGTGGAAAAGAGAACACAACTCACTTGGGTAAATTGCCGGAGAGTATTTTCCAAGCGTATTCCCGGAGATACTTCTGGAATATGGTGGTCAGAGCAATCATCGGCTCCCCAGTGCTGAGCTGTGAGCACTGCACCATGCACTTCTTGTAATAGACAAAGAGGTCAGCACAGCTGGGCAGCACGGCACCGCCTTCATCCGTGTTTGGTTTGGGAGGCCCCAGGGCCTTGAAATCAGCAACAAATCTATCGATCAGTTCCCCAAGATTCCTAAGAGGAGGGGAGAAAGAAATGCCATTTTTTCCAACAAAAGTAAAATACCGCCAATAATATTTGTATGAGCTGATAATTTTTAAAGCACTTCACAATAAGGACACAATAATGAACAACCTTGTATCTGCTGAGCATTTTGCATTTTTTAAAGCATTTTCCCACTCACAAACTCATTGATCCACATAGGTGGAGCACACACTGGTCTTTCCATTTTATGGATGGCAGGGCCAAAGTCCAGAGAACTTAAGTGATTTTTCTATTTCCACATCATTTAGTGAAAACACTGAGAACAGAACCCACCCTTTAGGGAGACAAATTCTAATATGATACTGTTATGTTTCCATGAAAGGACAACCTAAAGCACAGGGAGGCCCAGAATTCAGAGAAAACCCATGGGAAATTGAGGGCTAGAACTCCTGGTGACCAATGTTCCCCCTTGATACTTGGAACCATCCAGTCTCAGAAGTGGGAGGAACCTCAAAGGTTAGCTGGTGCCATTATCCAAATGATGACTACCCATTACATCACTCACAAGCAGTCATCCATCCTCCAAGTGAAGACCTTCTTAAGTGATGAGAAACTCAGGTCTCCTCCCCCTTGCCCTCTCCAAGAAAGTCCACTGTACTTTGGGCCAGCCCTGTAGATCATTTTTATTTATGCTGAGCTATAATCTATTCCCTGTTTCTCCTAGCTTTGTAGGTGAGGGCCAAGGACAGCAAGTCGGATACCTCATCTGAGACAACTTTTCAAATACTTAAAGAAAGCTATCTTGCTTTCCCCAAGCCTTCTCCAGCTATCAGCAATCCAGCCTCCAAAGCTGTCCCCATCGTGGTCGCCTTCTTCTGGACATGCTCTTGAGTGTCACTCAGCCAATGGGTCGACCTGTTAATTTGAGGCCTTGCCTGCCCTTGAACTTCCTCAGCCCAAACTGCCTACAGATCTGAGGAATGGAGGTGGAGAGGGCTTGAGGAAGTGAAGATCTAAGGTGAATTTCTGGAAATGACAGCTTTTATTAGTCTTCCAATTTCATGTAAAGACACTGTCAGTAAGGCCCTGTCACCTTTGGTTATTGTGCCCATTCAGGCTCTATTTCTGGGCTCAGAGCAGAAATCTAAAAGCACTTGGCAAAACATCAGTAAAACAAAAGGGGCTTTTCCCACCTTGTGCATACTCTGGGGTTACCAGGGAGTGTTCTAGAAATCCAGCTGTGCTTTTTAAAAGTATTTATACTAAGGAACAGGAAGAAAAAGACAAAAACCACACACACACAGAGCACCAATTAGCACGAACGCAAGAATACTGACATTTTATTCAAGGGTTTTTGTTATTGAAAGCTTATTGTAACCAGATGTGGTGGAGCAACTAACTGCCCTCCAACAGCTTCAGATTTCTTCTGGTCCTTTGTTTGGTATGAAGGCTGGAGAGAAGAGTAAGGTCTGGCCCTTCTGAGCCTAGAAAGTTCAGGGGGCTCATCCTCTGGATCTGGCCTCCTCTTACAGATTCCCCTATCAGTACTCTTACACAACTTGGGTGCTCTCCGGGCTATGTCATCCCTCTCCTGAAACACTATTTTTTGGGGATGTTAACGTACTGCTGGTGGAGTTGTGAACTGATCCAATCATTCTGGAGAGCAATTTGGAATTTCTCCCAAAGGGCTATAAAACTGTACATACCCTTTGACCCAGTAATATCACTACTAGATCTGTATCCCAAAGAGATCAAAGAAAAAGTAAAAGGACCTATGTGTACAAAAATATTTATAGCAGCTCTTTTTGTCACGTGGCAAAGAACTGGGAATTATTATTAATTGGGCAATAGCTGAACAAGCTGTAATATATGATTGTGATGGAATACTATTGAGTTATAAGAAATGACCAGCAGGATGGTTTTAGAAAACCCTGGGAAGACTTATATGAATTGATGTAAAGTGAAGTGAACAGAACCAGCAGAACATTGTGCACAGTAACTGCAATACTGTATGATGATTACCTGTGAATGACTTAGCTACTCTCAGCGATACAATGATCCAAGACAATTCCAAAGGACTTATGATAAAAAATGCTATCCACCTCCAGAGGAAGACCTGACAAAGTCTGAATGCATACTGAAGCATAATTTTTAAACTTTCTTTTTCTTTTTTTGTTTTGTTTCATTTCATTTTTTTTGTTGTTTTTTTGCCACATGGCTAACATGGAAATATGTTTTGCATGATTTCACATGTTTAATTAAGATCACATTTCTTGCCTTCACAATGGGTGGGTGAGGGGTAGGAGGGAAAGAGAGAATTCAGAACTCAAAATTTTAAAAAAATGAATGTTAAAAATGAAATACCATTTTTGTTCCAGCCTCTTGCCTTCATTTAATCTGCTTCTCCTTGCTAACATGCTCCTCTCTTCTCCCTTCTCCAAATGCCCCATCCTTCAAGTTTGGCCTGAGGGCCACTGGCTGCACACTGATCAGAGCATGTAAGCACCTGGCAGGCGGGGATCATTTCATCTTTGAGGCTCTTTTCCCTAGCACCTTACACAGAGAAAGCACTCGAGAAATACTTGATAATTGACCAGATGCTTGATTCACCTCTCCTCTCTCCGAATTATTGTGTTTACCATCTGCGTCATCACACAGACACTTGAATCCTTAGTTCCTGGTCACACAGGTCCTAAATATAAGAGCCAGGAGGGACCTGAGACATCATCTTAGTCCCATCCCATTTTACACAGGAGGAAAAAGAAGGCCCAAACAGTGAAAATGACTTGCATGGTGAGTATGTAGGAGATCTAGTCTCTAAATCCAGTTTTATGTAACTGCAATTTCTACAGCTCAGGGCTAAACTCCATGAGTCATATATAGGGAGGGGGGGAGTCCCCCACAGCAGCTTAATACAAGGCTAGGCAACAAGGCAGGTGCTCAGGAGACATCTGACTGACTGGATTTCCAGGACGGTGTGAGATATGAGAGCTGAAGAAGCTGTGTCAACCTTCTTCTTAAAAGACTGTAATCTCCAAGCCTCTAATGCAAACCAAAACCAGGGCCAGCGCACTGGGATTTTCTTCTGTTAATTATTCATCTGTTCCTCAAGAAGCTGGAGTCTGAAAACTTACTCATTTGCTCCCTCCTTCGGCACCAACCCTAGTGAGTCGTATTATAAATGAATATTTTTCAGAAACTACAGATGCTATCATACATTTTAGCTTCTAACTCCAGGAATTTCCTATATTTTGAGGACTACCTATACCATTCCCATATTTTGGCTATATTCTGACAGTGCTACCTTTCCTCTTCTTGGAAGGGGCACAAATTGGTCAGAAAATTCTTTATCCCATTTATGCTCTCTAGCCTAAAGGCTAAGTATGAGAGAGTAACGGAGTCAGCTTAGGTTTCACAGTTTAAAAAAAAAGAGTGACAGAAGTGATAGCAACCTCCTGGAAATGAGTGAGGTCAAGACTGTTTCATTCACTTTAAGCAGCTGATGAAATCCAACCAAACCCATAAACACGTATTGAGGGCTACAAGGACCTCTGCTACATGCTGGGAAAGGTAAAAAGAAGCCTGAGACTTCTCTACTTCCATCAGTGGCACTAAGACTGACCCAACCATCCAGGCTTGGGGGCTGTCTTCAGCTCATCCCTTTCCTCAGGCCAAGTCCTCTCATCTCTCTAACACTGTTCACATTTTCCCCTCTTTTTGATTTCTAAGGCTACCACCCCACTACAGACTCTCATTCCCCCCCAACTGTAACCACCTCTAACTCAATCTTCCCTTCCCTTTGATTCTGTTTGGTGCCAGAAAAACAAAGTCTTTTATAGAGGACTGCTATTACATTCCCCAAACACACCCGTATCAGCAAATAGTGTGCATCTGGATGAGTGGAAGAATAAAGTCTTTTAAACATTTCACAACATGATTGATAAAGATACACAATGGTTAGCTAAGTTTTTTTAAAAATAGAAAACAAAGCTTTTAGGTTTGGTTTTTTTTTTTTAAGCAATCTCTGGACAACCTATGAACAAAAGTCACACAGAATGAGATGGCCTAATGCAATTTGCATTTCAGAGGGAGCACCCATATCTCGGAGGTCACAGTTATTGAAGTGTCAAAGAAGCCACAACTGTATGCGGCACTGCAGCACCAGCCACCCTAGGTACACCTGGAAGCCTGGTGTCTGCACATTGCTGGGATATTTGAAACCTGTCAAGGACCATGGGAAAAAAACCATTTGCCTTGGAAGTTAATCATACTGTGTCAGGCTCTTTTTGTAAGAGTTGCTCTGTTGAGGGAACTTGATCTAACTTGTACAATACCTGAATCCAAGTAATTGTCAGGTGATGGGGGTTCTTGCCAATCAACGAAAGCCAAAGAGGGGGGCTCAGTGGTTACTGAAAAGGCCTCCTGAGCTCACAGCTGCTCTCAGTAAGATCTTAAATCTGTGAGCCAACTTAGTTCACATAAGGTCTGATTACTAATACCAATCACTATTTCTTTAGTGTCCTGTCCATCTCTCTGTCTCTGTCTCTGTCTCTGTCTGTCTGTCTGTCTGTCTGTCTGTCTGTCTCTCTCTCTCTCTCTATGCTTCCAAATAGTAGGACTTGACCACAGCTGAAGTAACACAAGTCCATTGCCTCTGTGCTAGCCAGACTCCTTTTCTGGTGACAGGAAGACAATGCAGGCAGGTGGCTGTTAGCTCTCATTTTCTTCTCTGAAGCTTAGGCTGTGAAAACATAGCTTAAGTTGAGACTTACATGTGCATCTGAAGATATTTCTTGAGATGGCACTGGGATTTCTACACAGTGGGAGTACAAATACTGGCAGCAGAAGAGTGGTAGCAAGAAGGTGAAACAAGAGAAAAAGAATCCTATGAAAAGCCCAGCTTCCCCCAATAGAAGGCATTACCTCTGACCTGATTAGGTCAAAGATGACCCTAGCAAGAGTAGAGAGGAAAAAGGCAATTTTTCCTTTGTAAATGGAAAGGAAACCAGTACATAATCCCAGGTATAAAA